TATATATTTGAATAATTTAACCGGGTGGGACTATCGAAAAATAAAAATTTTTTTTTTCTTGTCACCCTAATATATATATTAATTATACGTTAATTATTTTAATTTATCGTTTAATAATAAGTATTCACATTTAAAAACCCGTATAATGTATATCGTTTAAATTTTCAAATAAAAATAATATGAATTAGGTGGCCTAAATTACTTACTGCACCTTTCCAATGTAGCTACTCCACTGATTTGTACCTAATATATATAATTTATTCATCATTATTACAGATAGTTATTTATCAAGCGATTATGTACACTACGTCTTACGAAAAATTCGTTAAACCAGATGAGTTACCCAAAATAAAAGATTCAGATGTGTTTTTTGAAACTAATAATTCAGTTGACACCAAAGAAGATATGAATTTTATAACTATTGAGTTATGCAGATCAAATAAAAAAAACTACCCCGAAGTATTTAAATATTTATTAGATATAAATTAATCGATTAGGATATTTTGACAAATAATTGTTAAAATATTATGGCCCAATATTATACGAGTACCATTAGTAAAATAGAATGTAATATTAGTATATTAATTAATTTTGTGTTAATTTTGAAATATCATTAAAAGAAAAAAAATATTCAAATTTCTATTTATTAATTATAATGATAACATTTTTATCATGCTACTATTTCATTATTTTCTATGTAATAATTATTATTTTATTTTAGATTAATATAAATATTAAGAGAAATATGTGTATTTTGCTACACAAAGTAACCATTAACACTTTGTTGAAAGTTATGAATATGTTAGATCAAATTAATATAACTGGAAATACTATAATTAAGAATAATTTAGCTAATGACCAAATTAAAAATTCTGATTTAAGTGCAAAATCATCTAAAAACAATGTGTTAGAATCTTCTGAATGTAATGAGGATGATGTTTGTTGTCAAAATGTGTAAGTTTATTTGTATTTACTTGTATTTATTGTTTTTAAAATACTTATAATTATTTCCAAAGAAGAATAAATGTATAATAAAAGGTGATAATTTTTTTTGTCAAGTATAGTTATCATAAGCGATTCGATTATTTAAATATATGTTGCATCAATAACTAAGTATATTATAGTAATGTGTAGTGGTATTTATTTACATTTTAATTATCTTATAAATAGCAAATAGAAATAATTATTTAATCATTAATTAAGTAATATGTTGTGAATATTTATTTTCCAAAAAGCAAATATATTTAATTGTGTGTTTTATTATTCTTATGCATGTTTCAATTTCTGTTTCATAGGATCAAACATTGCACTACATGTATGAAATCTCAGAAATTATCATTGAAACTGTTCACCGAAACCGAAGGTATAAACAGTATTATTTTATTTATGTATTTATTTTTTAATCCATCTATGATAAAATATGATATAGTAATTTTTTGTTTAGACAGTTTAATGCTTAACATTGAAAATATATATTTGCAATTTAATTGTGTACAAAAATTGCAATTTCAACAATTTAAACAAACTTATGGGGAAATAATTATTAACGATGCAGCGATTTCTTTAAACAATTTCAACTTTAATGACTTGGTTTTACATCCAATACAAATAGTTATTAAAATAAGACTACCATCGCCAAAGTCGGGACCTTTGCAGGAGGAAATCTTTGCAAATTTGAACGTGGACTACCTTACGTTAGACTTGTCTCAAAACCGTTGTAAAAGTATACTGTTTATATGGAAAACTTATAAATATCTTTTCGAAAAAAAAAATACCATCACTTTAGTTAATGACGGTCAAAATTTCATACCAAAATTACAAATTTTCATGTCTGTAGTAAAAACAAAAGTATGTATCAACGTTTGATAACAATAGTATGCACTATAATTTATTTTTGTATTTCTTTCTCTCTTATCGTTGTTTCCTATTTTAAAAGATACATTTTTTGCAAGATGTTGAGAACATATCATTTGTGAGATACCATTGCGTTTCAGAAGACTTGGGCAAACATAAATTGTTGATTATCAATTTGGATGAAATACTTATTGATTTTAATTTTCATAAAGGTGATTTTAAATTTTAAAAGTTTAATATGTTTTATTTGAAATTTGATATTTGTTTGATGATCAGAAGGAATAATTACAGCAGTAAAATCTAAGGTTGATTTCACACTGCTATCTTATGAGCATTTAACTGAAATATCAATCGTTAAGTTTTTAATTAATCATACAAGCACCCATGCCACTAATAATAAAAGTAATTTGATAAAATAACAATTTCATGTAAAAAAAATATAATTATTAACAATATCTCAATTTAATTATTTTTAGGACGAAATAATCAGTGCAGCATTAAAATGAATGACATTCAATGTCAAATGGGACCTTATATTGTCACTTTATTGAACGCCGCAATGGATTTATGGAGCAGTCCTTCTACCGATAATATGCCTTATATTATATGCAATGATACTTGTTACACTATAGTGTTAATATTATTTTGATTTTATCATTTTACACTGTAACCTTCTAATTATATTTATTTTTCGTTTTGTGATTTGCAATTTATAGGTTTAGACAAGCAGACACTGATGAAAATATTGTTCTTAGCGGTCTAGAGTATTACAATTATTCATGGCTGGTTTCTACTGAAAAACCTTACCTACAATTTGGTATTAAAAATGAAGACCATATGTAATATATTTTAACCTTCGACTATTCAGATGGTTTTTACTTTTTTTTTTGTCAATTTTATAATAATTAGGTCTTATTGGAGTGAAAAATTAACTGTAAAAAGTCTAAATAAAAAATATTTAACTATTAAAGATTCCAACGAGGAAGACACGATTTTAATTATATCAATGCAACAAACATCGCCAGTTTCTATAAAGGTAATATATGTAGTTACAAAGTATTTTATTCCATAGAGTCTTAATGTCTGAGTTGTCTGAATGGTCTACAACCAACAAACTTCACTTGTGTATGAGATCTTATGAGTTTCAAAATCCTTTGTATATATAAATATATAATATTTTCACTATTCACTATACACTATATACCTATATATTAATAATATGTAAAAATGGTGCCAACAAGATCCTAAACGTTTAAATTTAAAAATAGGTTCCTTTATAACTTTTTTTTTTAAAAAGAATGTCTATAAAATTTAATTATTCTTTGAGTAATATAACTTTATGAAGAGGTTCTACGGTAGACAATCTTAGAATAAAATTTGACCACAAACTATCTTTCAAGGACCATTTAATTTTTATTAGAAATAAAGCGTCAGCAAAACTAGGTTTTTTTGAAATGAACCTGTTGACATTTTAGAAATGATTCTGCATTAAAAATATTATACTACTCATTAATCCCTTCACATTTTGATTATGCTCTCCTAATCTTACATCCATATTTAGTAACACAAATCCAAGATTTAAACAAAATTCAAAACAATTTTATTAGATTTTTATGTTATCAATGTTTTGTTTATAGAGCACCCCATTCTGATTAATGTTACAACCGATTTTTTTTAATATCCATTCGCTTGAACGATTCATGCAAATTAAAGTTTTTATTTAAATTATTTAATAATAAGATTGATTTCCAGAATTGCTGCAAAATATCAATTTTAAAATAAATCTAATAAACTACTGATCCATAAATTTATTCTACATAAAACATTCAACTGAAAATTATTTATGAAATTCTCCATTCAATATTTTAATGTCCGGATGAAACTCAACAAAAAATATTGATTTTTTTTTTTAATTCTTTAAATATTTTATGGCAAATGTTTTAAGAAATAAATATTAAATGAGGTATCAATTATGGTTCTATAGAAGCATAATAAATATCTCATTTTTATTTTATTTTGTTTTTTATTTTATAAATTTGTTCTTTTATTATTTTTATTGTTATATATAAATTACTGATAATAAATGTATATAATATATTATATACATATTATATGAAAAAAAAACTGATTGGAACTATTTTCCATAATAAAGAAAATATTATTATTATTATTATTATAGTTGTTTATGTTCTTAAAAGCTTAATGTAATATTTCTTATCAATCAGTGTGACATAAACATAATCAATATTTTACTATACATAATATGAACTTAAAAATTAAAAATTTATATCTAAATCTAATTCATGTGGAGTATGCAATGATAGTTGATACGCTAAACACGTTACTATTTTTTGTTATTATATATAGACTTTAACAGCAAGGCATTGACATACATTTATATACATTTACATTTTTTGTTGATATGATTGTTTGCTTGGTTTAATGTTCCTAATCGTTTTTTTTTTTTGACATACACGCTTCCTAGTTATAAAAATAAATATTATTTCCGCATAAATTCTAAACCTTTTTTTTTGCATTACACCATTATAGATTGTAATTTCCAGTACGTTGAAAATAATGAATAAAACAGAATATCTCTTAGATGCACTCATAATAACAGAAAAACGTAATAGTTACGACCTAAAAAATCTTAAGCACATCTTAACTGTGAGGCCATATGAAGTAACACCATCATTAATGTTAGAGCCATGTAGAACACTTGCAGTTGCATTGCGTTTTTCGGATTTAAATAGTCACTGGTCCGACATAGTTAAAGTGAACGATCTAAGTATCACAAGAGAAAATACAAAGTCTGTAATTGTCAAAAGTAAGTTGAAAGAACCTTATTTTTTTTTTTTTTTTTTACATGTTTTAATCGGGGACTGAGGGTGAAACTTAAGTTTTCGCTATTTCACCTCCAGGCCCCATCGTTTATTGTTTAAACTATAAATAATAAAATCAGAAATAAAATTCTGTTTCCCTCTGTGACGAGGCAGGCTCACAATTATATACAGTTATAACCAGTTATATACAGTTAATTTACATTTTTATAAATAAGGTTTCTGCTTTTGCTTCTCATGTTATTCTTTGGACATCATGACTTCGTTGACGAATATCGCCACAAACTCCCATTCTCCTTCGACTCCAACATACCATTATTTCTGAGATAAATGTTTCGTTGAGGAGGTACTCCATTTTCCTTCTTCTGCCGCTCCATACATCACATTAGAAGATAGTAACTGGTAGACGTCTTCCACGTCGTGACCGCAGTATCAGCACTCCTGCGACTCGATTTTCGCGTTTTTTTTTTAAGATATGATGCGAATCATCCATGGTCAGTTAGCGCCTGGGTCATGTAGAAGTCTATAAGACCATGTTTTCTCTTGTACCATGGCGCTATGTCTCCAATCAAACGGTATGTCCATCGTGCTTTGGGACTTTGGTATCATAACTCTTGCCACCATGTTACAAGGTTTTTTGCAGCTTTGGTTCTTATGTTCCCCCGATTATCGTCCTGTTTGTAATTTTATACATTCTTCCTCTGTGTAGCGTCTCTGTACTCTGTTGAGGGCAGACCATCCTTGTCTGCTCATTCTGTCGGCCCATATGGGTGCTCTATATAGGAGCAGGGAGTGTACGGCGTTTGATAGAAAAAGCCTTTTCTTGTGTTTGACTGCGCTAATGTTCGGGAGAATTCTTGATATGTTTGGAATCATTTTGTTTTCTTTGAAGGCTTGGTTGCTCGCGTGTGCAGTGAAGGTTAGTTTTTCATCTAAGATTAAGTCTAGGCATTTTACATTTGGATTGTTGTTGATTGTTATTTCACTGTTGTTGATTGTCATCTCATTATTGTGTCTTCGGCGTGTTAGGACCAGTACTTCGGTCTTTTGTGGTGCTTCGTGTAGTTCGATGTTGGAGAGCCACTGAATTGCCCTATATGCGGCTAACTCTAACAGATTTGAGATGTATGGTATCTCTTGCTGTTGCGATTATGGCAAACGTTATCTCTCTGTAATGCATTCGTTATATACTTGTAAAAGTGATTGTGGTTGCCGTTTAACTATGATTTGTAAGGCCTCGTTCGTTATTTCATCTAGTCCCGATGTAATATTTTTTCTCAGGGATGCTGCTGATATTTGAAGTTCTCCAATGGATATTGATATGTTATTGTTTCTAGTGTTTTGGGGCAAACATTATGGAAGTCGTTGCGGATGCTCAATCTTTGGATTATGGATTTAACACTCTCTTTGGTAATAAGTCCTAGTAGGGGTTGTCTTTTTATAAATTTGCCCATCACGAGTTTATAAGGTCTGACCCACGGTTCTATCTCTACCTGGTCGCATATTTTTTCCATGCAGCTTCTTTTGCGATCGATTTTGATAGCTCTCAACAACACCGTTTTGTCTCTTCTCAGGTCTTTGATTTTTTTTTAGCATTCGTTTTGGCCAGCTCTTAGTCTTTTCCTCTTATGATCTTATATCGCTTTTCTTCTAATAATGTTAATCTCCGGTGACTACCAGTGTACTAATTTCTTTTTGTTCTGGGAAGGAGGAACCACCTTACCACATGTGTCTTTTATTTTCGTTGATAGGTTACTAGCGAGCTCCTCCAAGGTGCCCGGATTAGATTTTCCACGGTGGAATGAGCCTAAGAGTATCGTCTAGTAGTTTGTAGTTAATTTTGCTTCTATTTCTCATGTTTATTAGTACGATTGTTTAGAAAAATTTTTGTTCAAATCTTATATTTCTGTAATCGCTTAAGTTTTTTTTGTTCTGTACAGTGCATTTTTTAACTAGTTAACTAGGCGACACAAATGTCGCCCAGTGATTGAACTCTGTCGATAATATTTTGAAAGATTGGGCGAAATAATGCGAAACAAACGTATAATACTATAATAGTACTATGGTATTATATTGACTATTTTGAGAAAAACATTTTTTGTCGCCCAGTAAAAATTCCTTATAAAATGCACTGGTTCTGTACCCTCTAATTCAAGATCTTGTGCGTGATTTCTGGGTATGAAATGGTCAGGTCTATTATCGATTCTCATCCTGCCCGTTCGAACGTTGGGATTTATCCTAGGATGCAGATTACCAAACCTAGAGAGACTATCGTATCGTAGAGTGCTTCTCCTTTTTTTGTTCTTGTTTGAACCCCCGAAGTGTGTCACGCATTAAAGTCACCGCAAATTATGACTAGGTGGGTGCTGGCTCTAATGCTATTATCAAGTCTTTCTAGGAAGTCATTATATTCCATGTGAGTCGGATTTGGAGTCTGGTAACAAGTAGTCTAGTATCTAGCGTCGCTTTGACCTTCGCCATTCAGTTGGCGGTTGGTGGCATTTATTACTGGTGTTTTTCTGCTGTTGTCTGCAAACCAGTTTGTTCCCCCTGTTCTGTTATACTCCGATGCAAGTATGAAATCAATCGAATCTTTGACTATAGTTTGATACATGAGGTTATGGGCCGCTTAACAGTTGTTCAGTTTTATCTGTAAGACGTTCGTCGTTTTTTGTAGGAAGTTCATTGTTTTTCCTTAGCCTCTTCGAGGCTATTTTTTAAAGGAACCTAGAATTATTTAAGTGGTCTGCTTCTGATGTTCAATCGTTTTATGATTATATTTATTTTATTTTAGTTTCGAAAAAAGTCAATTTTAAAACAACATCCAATGACGTATTGTGTCATTTTATTTTTGAGGAGATCGATAATTTTCCTCAACTGTTGGTAAGTCCTTATCTCATTAAAAAAATAAATAAATAAATAATTTAGACGTATTCAATATCTGGTCATTTTTAAAATTATAGATTTTATTGTTACCGCCATTTGTGATTTGTTCGTATTTACCGAATGATACCAAACTAAACGTCAGTATTGTGAAATTAAACAGCAAGACATCAATTAATAGCATAGAAGTAAAGTCAGCTATAGAACAGAAATATATTCAGAAAATTAATTTGCCCGTAATAACATCGGACAATGATGACGATGTTGATATCATATTGAGCATAAGGTTATTACATTTATTATTTCTAGTGTTACTGTAGACCACAAACTATTCTCGTAGAGAGTAACTCAAATCGAATGTAGGTATAATTGATTCAATCGAAGACATTTTGATTGCAGTGAGGATGAATATATGTCATCGATTGTGAGTGTGGAGGGTCACATACAGTTCGAGAACAAAACCCATAAAAATATGATACATGGTATCGAAGACCATTTAAATAATCCGTACGCGTTGGAAAAAACTAATTCGAAATGGCCATTCGTCGGCAACAGATTTAATCGTGTGCAATGGAAATCCGGTACCGCACAACACAAAATCAGAACCATTCAAACGGTAAAAAAAATAATGATTTTTTTGTTCATAGTCATAATTTGATCTCTATTCCTTTTTTGAAATTCATCAAATATAAATATTATAAAATATATACAATAGATCCAAAATTACGGCGTTTTCGGCGGCTTGGGAATACTCACGCGACTGATAACAATACAGCCATGGGCTTTAGTAGTAAATACAACGGGACAATCGATATCACTACATTCTTTGACGAGTGTTCGTTGTACGTTAGAAAACATGTCCGTGGCAGTTCCTACATTTGCAGATGACGACGTATTAAAATATTTACTATCAATTCTATTTGTTGCGCGTTACAAATAATAAAAAATAGTAATTCGAATACACTATAAGATGTGTTAATACTATATACTATTTATGGAATCATGAAACTATACCAATAGTTATGGCTTTTGAAACCTTAAAAATGATTAAACTTATAGCGCACATTTCATATTGAAATCAACATAGAAGATGAGGATCAATACTGTTCGTCGGCGATCAAATTTTTCGACGAACAGCATTTGCCAACTTCAGATGATCACGGTAATTCAATTCCAACAGACAAACAGAACATTATTTTTGCGAACAGTTTGTGCTCAGTGAGTTGATACGAAAACGAATGATATCTACATATTATTGTATAGTTTATAATATGTATATAAACATATGTCGTTCCCAATGAAGTACAACATGTACCTGTGTTCTTATATAAATAATCTTTTTTTATAGATCGCATACTTGATCGCCACCTCATCAATTTTTAACGGCACGAAGATTGTGCACTTACAGAGCTTATACATCGCTACAAATCGGACTTCAATAGATCTTGACGTACTTCTAGTGTGTTCGATGCCGACCGCGAATTTATTAGACGTGCCGGCTTACTCCGACAAATTGTTCGTAGACTTGCCAATAACTTCTAGTTCGCTGTAAGTTCGAATTATTATTTATTTATTTAATCATCTAATATCATGTACTACGATATGCAAGTGGTAGTGATAAAAAAATATATTTGTTTTTTTTTTTGCTCGTTTTCCAATACATTACTACAGTGGTAAGCCATTGGCACTGTGGACCTTAATAGGATCGACGACCGTTCGCACCACAGAACTCAATCAGTATTTAATTATAGCCTGGAAGGGCAATTCAAGTTGCCCGATCGCATTACGTGACGTGAAAATAAGCGAAAAAGACGAGCACCCTATGCCAGTGGTATTCTCGTCCTTCAGACCAGACAACTGCTCAGAGCCCCATTTGATTTACATGACATTACAAAAATATGACGATCAGCACATAATCACCATTCGTGAGCAACCGTACCCACAAATCGTATTTTACAATTACACTTCAACGTCTTTGATGGTCGCGGACAGTTATGAATTTATAGAAGAACCAATGATACGGCAGATCACTTCCGATTGGTATTGGTTGTATGAAATATTGCCCGGTCAAACATCGTATTTATCATTTCCGTACACGACGATGGTTAACGGCGCAGTAACGTTGTTCTTTTCCGTTGTGGATGGAAAATCTCACACGGGTATATAATATATATACATACATTTTTTTATAAAAGTGCTTTTGACATAGTTTTTATCACACTTAAGTATACAGAATAATTTTAAAATACGCTAACATGATTGCAGAATGGTTTGCAAGTATAACGGTGGACAATGATGAATGCATGGCCGAATTTGCTCTGGATTCTAATGAAGAAATAGAAATTAGAATTTCCAGGAGAGCGTTCACTTGGAAAGTAGTTTTACATACAACGAACGTTCAAAACGCTAAATTAATTAAAAGCTTGTTCGTCAATAATAGAGGTATTTAACGTTTTTTTTTTTTTTTTGTACATTTATATATAAAATATATCGGATAGTATATACAATTAGGCATACAAATTTTTCTTGATAATATTTTTACTGTGAATATATGACCAAATACGTACCTAGTGGAAAAATATTCTGTTTACAGCCATTGAGTCCCGGTTTTATGTGAATTGTTATATTCACGCTATCATATTTACAGTATTTATTGATGAATTTCATTTTAAAAAAATACTAACAGTTGTATTAAACAATATTGAAACTACCATACGACCAGAAAAGGTATCTATTTCAATATTAGTACACCTAAAACCTTATTAACACTTAACCTTAAATAAAATGTTTTATTTTTAGAACAATGTAAGCCAAGACAATGACATAAAACTTATGTTTTCAATTAATAATATAGAAGTGTACAACGAAATGTTTTATGATAACGATTTTGAATTTCCTAAAATTATTTCCATGAAACACCACAGAGCTACTGATGTACTTTCTAAAAACCTAAATATTTTGGAATATCTATCTCAAGATTCACATCAATTCAACAAAATGAATTCTGCTTTAATTATTATGTTTATAATAGATAAATCAAGTTATTCTAACCCTGGTAATATTTTAATAACATTTACAATCTTATATATTTGATAAAAACTCATCAAGTCAGTGATTCAGAGAGTAAGATGATCATTAGTGGCGCACACCTTATGGGTCAAGGGAGTAAGTCGATACTCCGAAAAAATTGGGTGGTTAAAAATATTTGTAATTTTATAAATGTTATTTCAATTTCAAACATGTGAAACTTAACTGGACCTAGGTTCATGCCTTAAGTGCTAAGTTCCACTACCTTAAGCTCCAAAATTACCTTTATTGGAGTTGCTTTGCTAATGTTTATGGGTAATGAGTGGGTGATCGGTATTAATATAATATGTTCGACCCATGTTGGTAAGAATGAGTGTGCGCCACAGCATTAAGTTATATAAAATCTAAAATTTACATTTTATTTTCAGCAATTTTGGATATAGAAGTATTTTTATCACTGGTTGAAGTTTTCATTGAAGATAAATATTTTGATTGCTTATTAGAATATTCCAAAACATACGACATAAAACCACTTAAATATGAAGTCGATAATGATATTTTGGAAGGTTTTATTCCAATCAATATATTATCTCTTTCAGAAATTAAAACTTTTAGAACATTAAGAATCACACCATTTCAACTTTTGTTCAATCTCCAATGGTCTAAATTGTTTGATATCTCTATGAACCACTTACGGATTAAAGTTACTGAATTTAAAAGAAGAAATATGCAGGCTTCTTTACTTCAACTTTACCAATGTGTATCGATTCATTATTATGGGAATATAATAAATAATGCTGGCAATGCAATGAACTCACTTGAAATTTTAGGAGCGCCGAACAATTTTATATGCATGGCAAAAAAAGGATTTCGCGATTTTGTTTCAATGTCGATAGAAGGCTTTGCTCGTGGACCCAAAGGATTCGTTTTTGGGTTGGCCAGAGGATGTAAGTCCTTGGCCAAGCACTTATCACTTGGATCATTACTGACAGTTTTGAGTTTCACTAGAAGTTGGTCAAGAACATTCAACAATTTTAAATCACTACCATATATAAGAACAAAAATAGTCAACGTATTGAGAATGGTGGAAATTACAAGCAAATTTTGTATAGAGAAAATTGTATAAACCATGTAGACGTTTAAGATGAAAAAAATAAAAATTTTTTGTGTAAATTGAAGATACCATACCATTTTAAATTAATACACAATTATTTAACAAATTATTTTTCTTTTCATTATCAGTGTAGTAATGTGTAAAATGTGTTATCGTTACTTCAGGTTTAATAAGACAATATTTTTCAAAAATCTGGAACGCATCGTGCGACTCATAGATGTCACCAAGTGCGTACCCAAGTGGGAGTTTCGAATCCGGATCCCCCCCCCCCCCCAAATGAAATTTCTACATACTCAACGATTTAATAGTAAATAGTATAATAGTTTATATTGTATTTTAATTTCCCATTATCAGATCAAATAAAGACCCTACTATAAAAAAATTCCTGGTACGTTCCTGGGCGTCACTAAGGGGTATCGAGGGGTATCTTTGCTACCTCAGGGATTTTTGTGGGGTAGCAAGGGTATCTTTTCGCTATTCCAAAAAAAGATATAGATTCTAAAAATATATTCCAAATTTATTATTCAACTGTGTACGAACATAAACCATCTATTATTGTGATTAATTAATTATATTTGATTGATTAAATAATTATATTTTTTGATAAATCATATATGTCATACCAAGATTTATGAAGAATAGTTAGCCAGTTAAGCCAATAAGCCAGTTATCATGTTAAACATTTAAAAATGTATTTTTCAACTTTCTAAAAATAAACTTTGTTGCCCCAAAATTTGGACTTCAGTGACAACCATGGTACGACTCATGACTAGATACAATAGGCACAATGGAGTGTAAACAGTGAGCAACAGTCAATATGTTATTAAATACAAAAAAATAAGTCCACTAAAAAATATCTAGCTGACGCACCCGACTAAAACTATAATGAAACATCAAAATTCCATACGACCCGATTTCTTTTGTGGAGAGAGGAGATCAAATCATCTTCATATTAATAAGGAAAATTATATGTTATGATCATATTTTTTTTATTTTAATACAATACGCTATTCCGTTCCGACAAATACGTCAACAATACCATTAACGTGGATGTTATTCGAGAATACTTTCTTTAATATATAAAGTATAAGATATACGAGATTGCATTTAGATGGGGTGGGGCTTGGCAGTAGTTTTTGAGGTCTGACTCCCCACAAGCCCTACCCAATTTACGCTTACGTACAAAATATTATAATATATTTCACGGTTGTAGTGGTACGATAATAAAAGTACATCAATAAAATCCGACACGAACACTGCAGTGTATTACCGTAAATATAAATGCATATAAATGAGTGAGTGAGCACTCATAGAGTCCGAACAAATGTATTTGCATGAAAAAATTATGTAAAAGCTCATTTTAAATACTGATTGATGTAAAATGTCTCATACATTATCATGCAACACAATTAATTAGTAAATTATAAGTATAATATAAGTTAGCAGGGATGGACTGGGTAGGATCCGGCCCACTGTTCTCGAAATAATAGCGGCCTAAGATTAGCCCCGACGTATTAAGGAGTCTATAGGGTTTAATGTCCCACCAATAAGCAGGTCTTAGAAGATAATACAGTGTAATTATTATTATTAATTATATTGTTTTATCATGTGGTTTCAATTTCTAGCTAATTATTTTTGTTATTTAGTTAGGCTTGAGTGTATACCGTAGATACCAGCCATCGGACACGGCCCACTGCACTATAGGACAGTAAACCACCAGCCCAGTTCGCCGCTGTAAGTAGGTATATAATATATATAGTATAACTATATTTAAACTTTAATATGATGATACTAAAACTTACACGAGACAAACATATTATTTTTATAACATTTCTACATTAAAGATGTAATATTCTGTTAATATGTTATCGGTTTTCGGTCAATTTTATTTATAGTTCTGTAATTTCTATTCGTGACATAAAATTGCGACCGTTCACGTTATCATCGTAATCACTCGTACATTTGATTATTTTTGCTAATATAATATATACATATCATTTTTCTAGGTCCGTATCACCAGCACGGCCATTAACTAATTATCATAAAATTTAAATTCAACTTATACAGTATTATGTATTTTTTTTTTTTTTTTTGTACAATTTTGTACAATCAAAACAAAATTGTGTACATCCTCCCCAAACCCGAGAAAAACTGATTTTTCTGCAGAATACGGACCTCGTTTAATGTGAAGCAAGGAAACGAGCGTTTTTAAAAATTTTAAGTGTTCGTATACGCTGCCACTGTTTTGAATTAAAAAGAAACTTTTGTAAATTTTCAAAAACACTTTTGAAATTAGACATAATATCTATTGATGTTAAATGCTCTCTC